GCTCTTCCCCCCACCCCAAATATCACAGCATCTTTTCAAATCCTTGACCTGTATCTTTCTAAAAAATGTTCAGAAAGTTGTGCTTTTACGGCTGATGTAACAAAATTCAGGGGAAGCCAAATTAGGCGTTTCTAGCAAATGAGTTGTTTATAGGCACTTGCCCCACTCTATTAACTCACATTCCTGGTTTTTGATGGTGTCTGCTCCCACACACTTTCGGAGCTGTGGCAGACTGAATCAGGAAACGTGAATGGCAGTCTGTGTTACGGCTCATTTCTGATTTGTGAGACGCACTGAAACAAACCCTGAATTAAAACAGTTCCCAGCTGAGGCGCGACTCACAGCTGACCCTGAGCACTGCTAATGACGAAGAAGAAACGAGACACTTTTCCTTGTGCGGACCTGACTGTCCTTAGAAAAGGATAGATCCTGCCGTGCTGCGAACTGCAGTACACAAACCGAACAATCATCGTGGTTGTTATCAAGAAAAGGTCTGAATAATATGGTAAGTGTGTTTCCAGTTCGAAGTCTGTCTTGGCATAAACGGTAGGTGTGAGACTTTGAGAAATCATCGCTTACAGGTTTAAGAGGTCAGTGTGTTTCTCACTGCAGTCAAAGCAGGAAGTAATAAAGAGAGAAACTGAGAGTTTATGCAGGTCAGGACTTGTTGTAGCCTCCTCAGAGAGAGCAGAGGAGTAAACTGGAGTCCTCGCACCAATTAACTTTTTTTTCTCATTTTTCACAGGACAGGATTTTCCTCGATACGATATGCCAGGAGGAAAACCTGCCCAAGTTTACCGATTGCTGTACTAAAAATGATCCTGAGAGAAACTACTGCTTCCTCTCCCTTAAAAATTCATCGAGAGGGATCATATCTCCTTTTGAAAAGCCAAATGCTGAAGCTGCCTGCAAAAATCATTCACAGCAGCAACTGCCATTAACAGGATAGTAAGTAAATAAATCAGAGATTTGTTGCTTAACTGTAACAGTTATGGGCCTGGGGACAGCAAATGCACTATCCACCAAAAAGTTCAGTCTAAGCTTTTCGGTAATCTTGTATTCATTTTTCTTCCTAATATAAATTACTTGCATAATTCATCTAGCTGTAATTGTCATTATGCAAAGCCTGTTCCCCCACCTCCTGCTTTGGATATAGTTCCAAATGACAAACGAGCTGGCCTAGTTTATTGTAGCTGAAACCAAGCACCTCCCTTCAGTCCTTAAAAGCCAAGCACAACTTTTGCTGCCTCTGAGCCACAGCTGGCAGGATCTGAGACTTCTATTTCCAGGAAAACGTCAGCCCCATCAGAATTTTCCAAGATAAACACCACGCTATAAAGCTTGTCGTTATGACAGGAAAACAATCACTTCTAGTAGATATCATTTTAATATACGACAGATACTGCAATAACACTGCTGCCGCCTGCACGTAGGTAGTTTCTCCGAAACTAAGGACATTTTTCTCCGGGTTTTAGTTTCATCTACGAGGTTTCCAGAAGGCATCCTTTCCTCTATGCCCCAACAATCCTTTCTGTTGCTCTCCGGTACGATGACATGATGAAGAATTGCTGCGGAAGTGCTGAAGACCCCACTCACCACCTGGAGGAATGCTTTCAGAGACAGGTATTCCGTCACAGGGGTTTAGTTTATTCACGCGCAACCAGGGACTTCCTATAGCTGAACAGATACCAAAGCAGAGATATCAGCCATTTCTTTTTCAGCATCCGAATCTGATATTATAACTCACCTAGTTAAGGACAAGCTGAAATCAGGCTTAAATGCTCCTTTGCATTATAGTTTGAACTGCTCAATAAGAATTCCCAACTGCGGGGTGTTGGGCAGATAGAGCTTTACGGGGAGCCCAAGGAAGTCCCCGCTCCCCGTGACAGCGTCGTTGCCCACCCCGACTCTGCCACCGGCGCTGGGTCTGTCGTAAGGACGCCGAGGGAGGATGTGGTGCTGTGCATAGTGCACAGGTCTGACAAACTGCTGGTACCCCACGACACATCTCCTGCTCAGCCGAGAGTTTGCAAAGACGCAGCCCACACGTAATCAGTGTCAGAAATTCAGAGGAAAATACCTGTAAGCGGTGTAAAATACGGATGAGGAACCTGCCCTTGCTGAAGAGCTGATTATGGCCTTCGTGCAGTTTGGCTGGGCCACAAGTGGTGGCATAGTTAATGGTACATTAGCTAATAATAACGAAGAGCCGGTCAGGTAATTCCCAGGTGATGATTTCTTCCCCTACGCTAAAAATACTGAAACCGTTGTCTAAAAGGCTTCTGGTTTCTTTTCACAGAACACTTACTTAATAACTGCTGGTGAATAAAGAGCAAGCACAACAGTTAGTTCGGGAATGGCTATAAACTGGCAGAGGGCAGGTTTAGATTAAACATTAGGAAGAAGTTTTTCACTTTAAGGGTGGTGAGGCACTAGAACAGGTTTCCCAGAGAGGTTGTTGAGGCCCCATCCCTGGAGGTGTTCAAGGCCAGGCTGGAGGTGGCCTTGGGCAACCTGGGCTGGTGGGAGGTGTCCCTGCCCATGGCAGGGGGGTTGGAACTCGATGACCTTCAAGGTCCTTTCCAACGTGTACCATTCTATGATTCTAGGATTCTACGATATCACGGCTTGGACAGCATTCTTCTTTCAGTATTAAAAAATCCCTCTTTAAAAAAAGCCATCGCCACAACAGTTTTAGCATAGAGCGTTGTCTTGTGTTTTCTTCCACTTCCATGGTTTGCACCTTCTTTCCGCCAGGCACCGAAGGTGGTGAAGCCAATAAAAGAAGATGGCCTGAGGCAGGAACACACATGTGGAATCCTGAAGAAGTTTGGAGAAAGGACCTTAAAGGCTTTGTGAGTCTTCCCCGCGTTTATCGTTATTTTGAAATGCAGCGGGCATGTTGTGCGTGAGCTGTGGATGGCTCCACACCTGCACCCAGTACAGTGACCCCAAATAGCAGCCGTGGCCTTTTTGTATGCAGGTCACTAGCAGCATCTAACAAGGAAGACAGATTCGGAATATAAATGTGTGCATGACAGCAGTCAGCGTTTCCTTACAAACTGCCACGAGCTTTCAAAATCTAATCCCAAAGTGTGAAAGGAACACATCTCTGTGGGATGAAAGTTAGAGAGATTGTGAGAAAAACACAAGTCATCTCTCTCAACCATTTTTGATGCAAGGTTGCTGCTGTAATTTCATGCTCACCTACCTCTCTTTCCACCACCTCACACTGAAATTCACCCAGGATCCTTAGGTAACCCTGAAAATCTCAGCTAGTGGCTTCAAGGGACATTTATTTGTTAACTTCAACAGGAGCAAGGAGAGACCCCTCCTGAGCAGTTTGGATAACCCCTCCACAGAAGATCAATGATAGCTTTCACGGTGTCATGCTGTGAATATAAACAATAACCATTTTTCTTTGTTGTAGGAAACTTGCTCAGATAAGCCAAAAATTCCCCAAAGCTGATTTTGCTACTGTTAACAAACTTGTGATGGACATTGCTAACATGCACGAGGACTGCTGTCGTGGAGATATGCTGGACTGTATGCACGATAGGGTAAGACGTTTAGTAGTTACATGTCTGCAGAAATGGAATGCTTTTTGTTGTTTTCTGATATTTTTTTTTCCCCTCTTATGCTGTACTGATTGCTCTCCAAAACTGGAGTTTAACTCTTCAGTTTAAAAACCCGGTTGATTTTCCCATTTGACTTTTCCTGGTGTGAAATCATCAAGAAAGGCAGAAAGATCACTTTGTGGCTAAAATGACCTAACACTGCTTCAGCAGATTTGGTTGCAGCTCCTAGCTGTGACATCGATTTCTATGCAGCTTCTGGCAGAACACAGTGTCTGCCCGTCCTCCCTTCTCTGCCTTCTTCTCACGTACCCAATCCTTCACTCTCACCGCTTCTCTGTGGTATGTGGCGACACAGGGAACTTCTCGGTTTAGGTGGTTCCCTAGCAGCACCTATCAAACAGCAAGCAAGGGACTGCAGCAAATAGATCGCCAGGGCTTCAGCCTTCTTCCTGGCTCTGCCAGATGTCTGTCACAGAGCTTCGGCCAGCCGCCTCCGCTCTTTGGGAGTCACCTTCCCTGCCTGTAAAATGGAGATAAAAACACTGATCCAAAACCGACCAAAATCTGGTGCCCTTCATCCCCATTTTTGCTTTACAGGAAGAGATTCTACACTATGTCTGCACCCACCAAGACATCCTATCAAGTAAAATTAAGACGTGCTGTGAAAAGCCTCTGTTACAACGAAGCGAATGCATAGTTAACGCAGAAAATGATGACAGACCTGCTGGCTTGTCCCCTCACGTCAGGGAGTTTATCGAAGACAAAGGAATATGCGAACGTTTTGCCCAAGAACAAGATACCCACTTAGCCAGGTAACGCGGGTCTTCCTCTACTCTTCAATTTCGCTGTTTCAATACTTGCATCACAAGATGAGAGTTTGGGGGTTCTAGCCCGGCTTATCAGCCTTGGCTTTGTCTGCTCCGTGGGCGTGCGGGCACGGGATAGTGTGCAAGTCGAACTCGAAAAACTCCATCTCAGACGATCTCCACTCAGCCCTAGAAGGCGTGGAACGGGAACAAAGGCAGAGCAGGGCAGAACTGTTATTTCAGAGACAAAATTGAAGAGGCAGATGTGAAACTTAGCTACTATCAGTTCTGCTCTCAGGGCCAAAATACAGCTTTGAGCCGCTCTTTAGTGGTAATTTAAAAAACCCACTTGTTTAAGTCAAACTCCGGTCGTGATTCAAACAGGATCGGTCCATTTCTGTTCCAGCTGTGTTCCTTTGTGCCGGGAAGCCCTGATCCTACCTGTAGTAAACTCAGGCGAGAATGCCGCAGGCTGCAACAGAAACAGCATCGAGTCCCAAAACCAAAGAATTCCCTTCAAACAGTACACGGCACTTTCGTTTATGAAAAGTGCAGCTAATTGATTGGGCACAACTGCCGTGGGGGGTGACTGCCTCAGCACAGCTAATCTTTTCAATGTCTACCCAGAAATGGGTCTGTTAGTAGAAATTACTTCATCATGACTTCGATAGGATCACACAAAGAGCGAAACCCCAAGCCCCGCAAAGCTCTAAGCCAGGCTTGACCCAAGCTAACACTGAGCTGGGACTGTTACACGCACAGGACTTGCTCAGGCACTGCTGTGCTCAGGCAGCCACCATTTGTTCAGGTTCAGTGCCAGGCTGAGACGCTGGGAAATCCTCCCCGTTCCACCGTACCTCTGACAAAACCATCCAGAACGCACTCCTGCTGTCACTACCATCCCCGACCCCTGGAGGGCAGTTGTGTCAGCTTATCTCTAATTGCTGCTATTCCACATCTTGCAGGTTTCTGTATGAATATTCCAGGAGACACCCTGAATTTTCTGCTCAGATGCTTTTAAGAATCGGTAAAGGATACGAGGACCTGCTGAAAGAGTGCTGCAAAACTGGTGCTCCAGACGACTGCTGCAGCAGAGGGGTGGGTGCCATCCACCTCCACACAACGTACGGGTGGACTCACGCGTGTGACCACACGACTGGTTCTGGCTAGGGAATATCCCTGCCCCAGGTCTAGAGCGAGTACCCACAGCTCCGGTAAAAAACCCGGCAAATATTGCAAGGCCCGACTGCTTCCCGTATGGAAAAAGCATCAGCAGAGCCTTCGCAATCTTCAACTGAGAAGCAATTTAACATGGATCAACAGAGATGCTGGGGAAAGGGATGGAGCTAATATTTGTGTGAGCTCTGCTCGCTTTCGGGCTCCCTAGCGGTGCCAGTTGTCTTCTTGACAATGTAGAAGGCGCTCATGGTTATTGTCTCAGAGACAGCAGCGTTGTAAATACGCGGTGGCAGGTAGGAGCCACCCTGTGTCTCAGCCCCAGCCTTCCATCAGTTATACGAAGTTAAGTATTTCCAGGGGATTGAAGGTGGAGATTTATCACTTTCAGGCAGTTTAGAGAGGTTTCAGACAGATGAAGACTTTCTAATGGCATTAAAAAGAGGTGGTATTTATCAGGTGAGAGGAAGCTATGGATATCCAGGCAATACCACGAGGCAGGAGGGTGCGCTGCATTCCCCCCGAGACAATGACTCCTCAAACTACCTTATTTTTTTCAGGAGGAAGAACTGAAGAAACATATATATGAAACCGAAACTGTCATGAAGACGAGCTGTGACATTTACAAGGAGAAAGGAGATTACTACTTCCAAAACGAGTATTCCTTTTTCACATGCTTACATTACTCCTGTGCCAGCTGCGCACAACTCGGGCTGGAGTCAAGCCACATGTCAGAAAAGCTTGGCTAAAAACCACCACTTGAACATTTAAACCAATGTATTAATGATTTTTAGGTTGTTTGTTTTTTTTTCTTTTCCAAGATAGCGTTGTGGCCTCTCATGAGTTCTGTCCTTAACTTTACTCATGAAATGTGAAGCGACAACTTGATCAATCTCCCGTCCATGTTTCCTATGATGTTCTCGCTTTGCAGCTGCATCTTGAGCTGCGAGCTGTAACTTAAAAGTCATAAATTTGGCCAAAAGACAGTTGCTGTGTCTTCAGCAAAAGACTTTGCCCTATCCAGCTCCTGCAGCAGATGTAAACCTTAACATTTCTAACACAAATCTAACTACAGTAGACGGAGCAAAACTGCACCAGCTGAACCGTCTACTCTGCTGCAATGCAACATGCAGGCACAAGCCTCCTGGGGGAACTTTGGCCCCGATTTGCAATGTTAATTAGCGCGTGCCTAACAAAGTATGTAAGCAATCTCAGTGAAACCTCCAAACTGCTTGCATACTTCAAATTAGGCTTCAGCTAGCCTCCTCTGGGGAGATCTGTCGGGCTTTCTGCGCTCCCGTACAGGTCTGATTTTTAAAGAACATTTGGAAATAGGGGTTTCCAACAAACCCGGTGGGCTGCTTCTGCTTGCCCTAACAGGTGTTCAGGTTTTCCGGCCTACGAGGGTGAATAAGCGGTCTTTTAAAAAGAAAAAACAAGTGAAATTTTTTGAGCTCATCTTCTGCTCTCATCCAGTGTGCCAAGAAGTCACTCCAGTTCAATTTTGCTCTTGGACAAGCTGCCCGCGCTCCCAGGGCAACAAATAACACCTAAAACACATATGTACCACCTGGTAAGAGGGCCCACCAGCATGTAACTGGCCGCTGTATCCCTAATTTTATTTGTTTAACCTGTTAAGAGACTGGTCAGAAAAAGGAGAGTGCTCAAACCAACAGAGCAGGCTTACACTTGCTGACTTGAGTTTATGAACGCCAGGCTTCGTCCTGCCCGTGCACTCCTGAGCGTTCGGGGGGGTTTGGCTGCAGCTTGACGCGTGCGAAGGCACCGGCTCGCTCACTGCTGCCTGGCGGAACAGAAACACCAATATCAAAAGAAATTATCATTTCAGGCTTCTCATGAGCTTCACCAAGAAGATGCCTCAGCTGACATCCGCCGAGCTGATAAAATTCACCAAGCAAATGACCGCAATCGGCGCCAAATGCTGCCAGTTGAGCCAGGACAAGCTACTGCCTTGTGCCGAGGAAAACGTGAGTATTTTTCTTCTCTATCTTGGTCCTACTTTTTCTTGAAACTCTGCCACCAGTTCTGCTGCCAGCAGAGTTGTAGAGCTTGGAGTAAAGGTAAATGAGAAAAAATGTTTACTGAGCTTTTGACCTGGCCTGAAGATGTATTTCCAGGTCTGAAATAAGCGTAACTCAGCATCGTTGCAGTTAACGCTTGAATTAAATGACAGGAGGATCAGGAACTTGTCAGGCCGCTGTGGGGCAGTTCACAGTTGCGCAGCGCGGGCAATCCCGCCCTGCTCCCTCTGAAGCTGATGATCTCTCTTCCCAGTTCATCCTTCCTAGATCCCTGAAGCTCTAGTGCTCTGTGAAAAGGATCAGTTTTGTTCAGCTCTTCCCTAAGAATTCTCCAGGCCTGTAAGCCGACCCCCTGGAAAAGCTTCAGCCTGTCCTCCAGCCACCCCTTTGTAGAACATCACGTTTACAAGAACATAACCGCAGAAACCCTCCCGATGAGAACAAATCAAATGCAAAGATAGTCCCTAAAGCTGCACATACATATTTATTCTGGAAAACCTGAGCCATCTTTGCACTGACAAAAGTCAGCATTCAGTAGAAATACAAACTATTACCTATCTTACCAACAAGGTTTCATTTAAATTCTCAGTTATAAAAAAAAATAACTTCACTAAGAGCAGCATGATTTCAGGGATTTTTGTCAATGAAAAAAATAATGTAAAGTTGTCTCTTGGTTTGGTTTTTTTTTTTTTTCCACTTCTCTTGGTAAAGCTGGATCTCGTGCTTGGAGAAATATGCAGAAGGCACCTGAGCGATCCAATAAACCCCGGAGTCTGCCACTGCTGCAGCAGCTCCTACGCCCTCAGGAGGCCGTGCATGGGGAAACTAGAAATGGATGAGCACTACGTGCCCTTGGCACTGACTCCCGGGCTGTTCACTTTCCACGAAGACTTGTGTACCTCTGAAGAGGAAAAACTACAGCACAAGAAGCAGGAGTAAGACGTGCCTGTTTGTTACCCCAGTGTTTCTTACTCTTATCCTGGCGACGCGCCCTTTTCCCTTGTCCACCCTGGCTGGCCTTCTTGTGCCGCACTTGGCTAGCGGAAAACCAGCCCTATGTCCCCCACCCCCTCTCCCAAGCTCCTCGTCTTTCCTCTCGCGCTAGTCCCACTTTCTTCTGCTTTCTGGTTGAACGTGTATTAACTTACGCTGGATTAGAACATCATTTTCAGAGGTGGGGAGCTGCGTGGGTGCACCCCGCCAGAAAGGAAGCCACAGGTGTGCAAAGCTGGATCTGCTACACCTGCCCTCCCACCGCCCTTCACGGGCACTGCACAAGGCCCGGCATCAAAAGACAGCAGAAGGAGGATGAAGCTGCTGCCTGAAGTACGGCACGGCCTTTATGGCTTAATTAGGGCTCATTTCCCAGATGGGAAAGCCCACCCATTTTTCCTCATCCCACGCACTCCTTCAGTCTCAGAAAAGCTCTGGAGTCTGGTGGCCTTGGTCAGAGAAAACTTGCGTGAAGGACAGCCCCCCCCCCCCCCCCCAGTCACTGCAAGAAACAAATCCCTCTTTAGCCATTAATTGTGCTGTGGTGGACCCGCACTGTCCTGAGCCCTCTGGAGCAGTGCCCAACACAGGCACCACCTCCACGGTTTCTCACCGATATTCATGGCGCAGCACCTCCAAACCCGACCACCGATCTCTTATCTCACAGGGGAACGGGGCGCATCTTTGCTCCCCGCTACAAATACTGTCTGGGTGGTGAATGAAAATGACAAAGCTGTAGCAAGGGAGGGAGAGGGAGAGTGCAGGACTAGTGCTTGAGGAGCGCTGCCTCACCTGCGGCTTCACAGGGCTCGCTTGGCTTTTCCTGCAGGATGCTCATCAACCTCATCAAGTACAAGCCCCAGATCACACAGGAACAGCTGAGCTCCGTCACGGCCGCCTTCACCACCATGAGGGAACAGTGCTGCAAAGAGGAAAACCGGGAGGCGTGTTTCCTGCAAGAGGTACCGTTTCTGTTTTCACCCACACCTTCGGAACCGAAACGCAAACACGGAGTACAGGCAAGAGTGTACGTTCTTCCACTGAGCAGCAAAAGCAACGCCTGGCTAACCAGAACTCCTGCCGCTGCGTTTGCAGGCACAAAGTGTTCTGCTAGCACGAGTAGATCGGTGTACCAGCTGAATGATCGCTAGAGAGTGCATCTAAGGAGTCTTGAGTTTCTGTGCAGCAACTTATAGACACAGTCAACTACAGCTGTTGCTTCTGGGCAGTCCCTGGGACTTGCACTGGGGACGGACACGGGCAAAGGTCTTTCCCTGGCTAACAGTTCTTAACTGAATTTCTCTCGAAAAGTTCCTCTGCGATAGGGAGAGAAAGGATATATTCAAAAGCATTTTCCCTGTTTATTCCCCCGACATCCATTTTCCTCTTGTCTTTCCTCTGTTACTTCACCTCGCTGAACTTCAACTGCAGAGCTCCGCTGGCTTCTCTTTACCCTCCGGGAAATCTGCTTTTGCATACTTCTCTTCTCTTTCTTCCAGCTGTTCCTTAACTGAACTTCAGCAAACCAGCCACGGCCCTTGAGCCCTGCTCGCTCTTTTCCTATGTCTTTGCCTTGCTTTGCTTTGAATAATAAAGTACAGAAAATTCTCTTTTATTAATGAGCGATTTCCATCTCTGAATACCCCCAAACAGCGTATCCGCAAAGAAGCGTTCTGCTAACTCCTCCTGATAGAACTGCATTGGAGGATTTTTCCGACAAATACCAAATCCTCAAAGGCAACTCGAGCTGAACGCTAAAAGCAAAACATTTATTAAACACAGTGATTTATGTATATGCACTTGGCATATACACTGTTTGCACACAACTAGCAAAGATGAACCGTTACCTACCGCCGCCACGCTCGTTAAACTTGTTCACAACTATATCATCTTTCTCATGCTCATAGATATTTTGTTTTTTTTTTTCCCCCCCAGGGTCCAGAACTTATAAAGCGAAGTGAAAAAATGCTGTCAGCATAAAGAGCTCACACAGCGTACTGGAAGATACTTGCTGAACCATAGGAACTCACACAAAGTCGAAACACTGAGCGGATCTTTTCTCATTGTTCATGAAGTAGAAACAGGCACGTATGATTTTTCATACTGGGGAAAACTGCCTTGTGGCTCTTTACTCACAAATCTAACGACGTCATGATGGTTTGCACCAGCTACAGTTCTGCCACTGCCCGATCTGCCGCTGTGACCGCTGTCCAAGAGCTGCCTCAGAATAAAACATCAAAGTCCCGCCTAGAATCTGCCGAGCTGTGGAACGGCAAAGCTGGTCCGCTCGCAGAGCTCAGCTTACCTCAAAATTAAGTGTTTTCATCCATTTTATTCAGACAGGGGAGAAACCTGTAGGCACGCTTATGTTCTTGCTCCTATCACTTTGATTCAAAATGATCAAGGATATGTACGAGTTAAACCAATTTAACTTGGAGCCAGTGTAAGTCCAAAGGGGAGGGGAGCACCTAAAGAAATCCACTGAAAGATTATGTTAAATGGAGGAGCATTCAGGGTTCAGATGTGGTCCCCGTCTTATGTCATGGAATGTTCCTTTACTTACACCAAATAGTCACAGCTACCAAAAAAAGAAAAGCATTTTAAATCTTAAGCCTAGGAACCGTAAACACAAATGAGATCAAGTTAAGAAAATCTGCCTGTAACCGCTTCTAAATTATTTTTCAATCGCCAAATAATTATTTTTTGCAGTTTTATGACAATATCCTTTAAAGACAACGCACACACTCACTAGTACAGGCTGCTCTAGGGCAGTTGTGAAGTTGCCTTTAAGCACAGAAAAATATTATCTTGGGCATCCTGAAGAGGGTGAGAAAGAAGGAAAATAAGCAAACTGTCACTGAACAGGCAGAGCAGGAGCTGGTGATGCACCGCCCAGCAGACCAGTGTTGCGAGGTAGCGCTGGGCGACCGGCTAATTCACACTCGGGTGGTTTGACACAAAACCAGCTTTTGGGTTTTTACTTCCTTTTTTATATTAAAAGAAATCAGAAGGAGTGTTAAAAATCATATATCAAAACCAGTACTAAAATAAAGAAATATTTTTTCTGGAAGCCTTTGGCTCAAGGGGAGAGACACCCAGGCGCCCCACGCTGTCGGTGCCTGTACCCAGCAGTACTTACCCAACAAACATCTCGGAACACGCCAACCCAGCTTGAAGTATTCCCCTCAAAGAGAAGGTTTCACAGTCAGATGGAAGAGCTCGACCAACTGGAGTCCCGTCGGAATGTACCCTGTATACACGGCTCGGCAATACTTTCAGTAAGGAACGAGAAGAAAACCAATTCATTGGATTTGTGGCTGACAGGAAGACAGCAACTCACTGTTGCACATCCCTTGGCAAGATTTCAAACGTCAAAATCATCTTGGCAAATCAGAGCAAAAGCCTAGAAAAACCCAGCTCGGTTCTATGAAGACTAATTGCACATACAAGAAAAGTACGATCGAGCAGCTGCGCCATTTCGGCACAGGAAAACCCCTGAGGAGGGAGCTGTGCGGTAACACTGCAGTTCCACCAAAGCAGGAGCTGGCTCAGCGTCGCCCAGGGTTTGCTGCTGATTAAAGTCTCACTCTGTGCCCACGTGCCGGAGGGGTAAGCACAACCACAGATCAAACAAAAGCACAAGCCACGTAACACACGGGCCATGGTTTCATCGGCCTCGCCTCTCCTAAGGACTTTGCTGAGTGTGAGAACAAATCTCCGGTACTGCGATTCTAGAAAGCATTTCACTGAAAAAGAACAACAGTAACAGTCAACGATGCAGAAAACACAAAAAGGAAAGCTCAAATAGATGGGGCTTGCCTGCTTTGATAAGAGAGGCCGCAGGAAGCTGGCAATGTTCATGTACCACAACAGACCGATCCCGGGACAAAAACCAGCGCATCAGTGCCCGCTAAGGGGAACGAAGCTCTGGGACAGCCTGGCTGGGAGGGGCGGGGAGCCGGGAGGGACACACAAAAGCTGGACAGGCGTCACCAACGTACCTGTGATGTTTTCAGTTCCACAGCAATAACAAGGCGGCCAACTTGGGCTTCTCTCACCCCTGCGTTTTCCTGATCTGATGAAGATCAGTCTGCTGGAATTTGGGGGGCAGTTTCACTTTTCTGTTTTTTTTCTGTTTGGTTTTTTGGGGGTTTTTTTTGTTTTTTTTTTTTTTTTTTTTTTTTTAAATCCAGTGATTACTTGGGGTGTTTCTCATGGGGTCGCTCAGTAGTACAGATTCAGGTAAGACCGACACTCAAATTGCTGTGTTTGTGGTTAACGGCTCAGGCTCTGTCCGAATTCATAAGCAACCCCCATTTCCTCTGTCACCTCTGTTTTTCCTTGCTGTGTTACCTGCAATAGCCAATGATGATTTGGAATAAATTCTTCCCCTGTTTTTGTCTGTGTTTGTCAAACAACTCATTTAAATGAGACAGTATTCCCAAGAAACTAAGACCACAGCGAAGTCACGGCTTTATTTCAGTAGCCCTTAAATCCCAGCAGACTCCAGCTAACCTGTGCCATGTTCCACAGTTGTTTTCCAGCACCTCTCAGTCCCAGTTCAGCATTTTTTGAGGATTCAAGTATTTAGATCAGGTGGTAGCAAAACCAGCTCAGTTTAGGAATTGTGTACGTACACAGAGGACTGGAGAAATTGCTTGAAAACACCCTTTTCCACACAGTCTGCGCATGGAGTTCTCTCTTCATCTCAGACCAAGGAATTAGCAGTATTTCATATTCCAGTATTTTGGCACTGCACCTTCATACAGCTACTGAAGCATTTATGAATTGAACAGATAACAGTAACAGCCTATTCCGCATAACAACTCTGAAACACTTTCTCCTGCGTCCAGAGAGAAACGGGTGCCGCAGCGCGGGCACAGCCCCCTGTAGCCCCAGCCACGTTCTAACGAGCATGGACTAGCTTATTCCCATGCTCCTTGATTTGAACTGTCTGAATATTGCTCTGCAAGAGGGTTCCCATTCGTTCCTTACCGTCATTTAAGCAGAACAAAGCCAGAAACACCGAGAGGTGGGTCTGCTCCTCGGCTGACTCCTGCCCTGCCTCCAGAGAGCCTCTCGAAGGCCGCTGCTATTTAACCCACACATCTTAACTGCTGAGTTATTTTTATTTCTCCCCTCTGTGCTCCCTTGCCCATAATTATTTTCCTGGGCAGGATTATAATAGACTGTACATTAAAAGAAACCCCTTACCCAACCACAGCAGCTGCAGTTAGCACACTGACTTTCATTTTTCAATTGCCATCGACGTAACAGCATCTCACAGAGTGCAAAGTTTTTCGTATTTGTTTCGTTTCACCTGAGTTCTAGGCAACGTTTTCCACACAACGATTTCTGTCCCTCTCACAGTGTTTATCTTGGTATCTGCATGAGCCAAAGGTATCGGAGGCACAACACAAATACCATGTCAAGAAGACAAACTAATACCGGCGGGCAATTAATTGTGCACAAACTGGATTTTATTTACATCTCTACAATTTGAGCTTCAATATTCAGCACGACTCAGCCAGAGCCCCGAGAGCTGGCTACTGTACGCTGCGCTGCAGCCAGTCTGCCCCAAAACTGCGTCCGTGGGGAGGGCCACCGCGACCGCCTCACAGCTGTGGTGTTCAGCCCCTCTCACTGACCGTTTCCCATTTCCAATTTCAAATATAACACACCAGAACAAACACGGGATCATTTCCTTCCACAACCACAAACGCCGAGTGCCTGCCAGGACCCAGCCAAGCCGATGCAACAATATTTAAGGAGAGCTCTTATTTGGCAGTTCAAGAGAGATTTCGGAGACACATTCCCTCTTGCGTTTAAGAGCTGAGTAGGTATTAAGTAGGAGAGTTTCCATTTATATTTTTCTAACTGTAGCTCAAAGCTTAGGCAAGTCAGGCACCTACCAACTGGAAGGCAGTGGCATTTCAGGTCTCTCTTGCACAGGTATTTAAGCGAAGTGAAAAGTCTAACTGGAATCTTAGATACGTAAATCTTTTTCACCACTTATCACTACTGAAAAGCTTCCTCCTAATACAATTCAACATCTCTCTCATAGAAGGAAAACCATATACTCAGTTTTCATGTTTTCTGTATGATTAACACACTGGTTATTGCAATATTTCTCTTATACACTAGACTTTTG